GAAGATCCTGTCGCATTCCTTGCTAATTATCTACAAAATTATCTTCATCAACGCGATCCCATAGAGGCAAGCAATAGTGGCAAGACCAACTCGACAGCGCCAATTAGATCCAACTCGCCCTTGTTGCGACGCACGGGAATGGGTTCGGTGCAGGGTGTTTACAATGGTAACGGCGGCGATGAAGATCGCATAGAAGAGGATCATATACCGAACGTTGATGAGGAAGATGAAGAAGAAACGCACGCCAATCTCGATGACCGCGATGAACACGGACAAAGTATGCTGCATTTTGCTTGTGCACGTTCCCATCGACGCGGTGCGCTAATGCATCTAATCGAAGAATCAAATATCGATATAACATATCGCGATGAATTGTATCGAACGGCGCGTGATGTATCGCTGCAGGCAAATCAGCCATCGAATGCGAAAGATATCGATCNTGTGCACGTTCCCATCGACGCGGTGCGCTAATGCATCTAATCGAAGAATCGAATATCGATATAACATATCGCGATGAATTGTATCGAACGGCGCGTGATGTATCGCTGCAGGCAAATCAGCCATCGAATGCGAAAGATATCGATCGTTATGTGCTATCGTTGGCTGTGATTGGTAAGTGAGAGAGAGAGAGAGAGAGAGAGAGAGAGAGAGAGAGAGAAGGAGTNTCGATCGTTATGTGCTATCGTTGGCTGTGATTGGTAAGTGAGAGAGAGAGAGAGAAGGAGAGTGATAGATAGCGGAAGAGATATATTAATACATGCATATACCTTATCTCCACTGCAGGTGATGTTAAGCCTTTTGAGACACTCGCTGTAGAGGGCTACGATCATATAGTGGATGTTACCGATGACAATGAAGTGAGTATTGTCGACATAGCTGCCGAGCGCGGACATGAGGAGCTTGCTGATTTTCTACGCAATTTACGTACACTGGAGGTGAGTAAATGATATTGGTATTAATGTTACACTTCGAAAGCTGGCACTTATGCTTTCTTTCGCTTTTTAATACAAGGAACTGCGTGAGGAGTTGCATCAAATGATACGCGATGGCAATGTGGGACGTGCAAAGGAAATAGTTGCCGACCCTAATGGCAAATGGCTCTTGAAAGCCAAAAACTATTATGGTAAGACACTAGCTAGCTTTTTATTAGCTGACAAGTGCCGAAGAGATACATGTTTTTGTTTTTGTTTTGCTTTCGATCCACAAGGGCGCACTGCTCTGCATATAGCCGTTTTGAAGGAGAACGAGGAACTGGTGGAACACTTTGTGAGTCTGTGTTCAGAGTTGCTGAAAATTGGTGATAATGTAAGTTTCCTTTTTGAAAGAATAATTTTTTTTTGGCAATTTCTTTTTATGATACACAGCAAGTTTTTTACAGTATATGCAACAGTTTTTTTCTAATATTTTTTGGCAAATTTTTTATAAAAATATGGTTTATTCTTTAACAAAAACACGAAAATAGAATTCTTAAACTCTGTGCAAAACTCGCGAAAATTCAACAAATTTTCAACTTTTTTATCAGATTTATTAGATTTTTTTTATAGTTTTGCAGCCCATTAAATCCTAATAAATAAAAAACTGCAAGTTTGAAGTTAGTCAAAAATCGCATTGCTTTTTGAGATTTTTTTTTTGTTTTGTTGAAGGCGTTTTCCTTTTTTTCCATATTAAAGTATTTTCGAAAAAATTGTGTTTTGTATGGAAGAGACTGCGTGAAAATAATTGCCAAAAATTAAAGCTACTTAAAACTTTATTTTAATGAAATTGATTGGGCTACAAATCTGCATACTCAAAAAAATTCTAAAAAATTTGCTGAATTTTCGTGAGTTTTGCACAAATATTAGAAAAAAAATTGTTGCATATATTGTCAAAAATTTGCTGTGCCAATACTTTTTGCCGGCAGTGTACATATGTATATACATACGTTCATCCA